TCCTCTCCTCTTCTCTTTCACCACTCTCTCCTCCAACCTTCCTACTTCCTTCTCCCCTCCTTTACTCTTTTCTCTCTCCTCTCCTTTCTTTCCTTTCATCCCTCTTCAGATACAATTCAGGGGTAATGTCCGAACAACTGCTCTCTCCAAATTTTACTGATTCATATTTATGATGGTCACAGTGTCCCAGGGTCATGTGAAGTGACCAAAACCTGCTGCAATCACCCAGCAGACAGGGGAGGGAATAAAAACCAAACACCCCCCACCCCATCCCTGCTGCCAATCCTCAACAGAAATGCTCACAACAATGGAAACCTCAGACAGGAGGAAGAGCGTCGCCGGGCAGATGCATTAAACAGGACGTGGTCACTTACTGTCTGCCAACTTCCGCGTAAGCTAAGGAGTGGATGGTTTTGCAGGTGACGTTGTCCGGGAAGAGCTGGGACGCTTGGTCTGCGATGGTCTTGTTGAACGCCAAGTACAAGAAACGAAGGTGGGACCACTTTTGGGCGTATTGGATCAGAGTGGACGTTTTCCCTGTGCCTGCGTGAAAAATTAAAAACATTTCAGTCCTGCTGGGGTTTTTTTTTTTCCCCTAGCCAGGTTCCTTCAAGACAGCCAGATTGCCAGGACTTTTCAGGTTGAAGGTGTGAAGCTAGGCCAGGGGTAGGCAACCTGGGCTCTTTTATGACTGGTGGACTTCAACTCCCAGAATTCCTGAGCCAACCATGCTGAGGGGAAAGGGAGAGGTTTCCAAGCGGAGCCATGTTGGCTCAGGAATTCTGGGAGTTGAAGTCCACGAGTCATAAAAGAGCCAAGGTTGCCTACCCCTGGCCTAGGAGGCTCACCACTTAGTACAGGAGGATCTATACCAGGGTTAGGCAACCTTGGCTCTTTTATGACTGGTGGACTTCAACTCCCAGAATTCCTGAGCCTGCCTGGCTCAGTTTGGAAACCTCTCCCTTTCCCCTCAGCATGGCTGGCTGAGGAATTCTGGGAGTTGAAGTCCACTTGGAGGTTTGTCTATGTCAGGGGTAGGCAACCTTGGCTCTTTTATGACTGGTGGACTTCAACTCCCAGAATTCCTGAGCCAGCCGTGCTGTGGGGAAAAGAAGAGGTTTCCAAGCTGAGCCATGCTAGCTCAGGAATTCTGGGAGTTGAAGTCCACGAGTCATGAAGGGGCCATAGTTCCCTCATGCTGGCTCAGGAATTCTGGGAGTTGAAGTCCACGAGTCATAAAAGAGCCAAGGTTGCCTACCCCTGGGCTAGGAGGCTCACCGCTTAGAACAGGAGGACTTAGGACAGGGGTAGGCAACCTTGGCTCTTTTATGACTGGTGGACTTCAACTCCCAGAATTCCTGAGCCAGCCGTGCTGAGGGGAAAGGGAGAGATTTCCAAGCTGAGCCATGCTGGCTCAGGAATTCTGGGAGTTGAAGTCCACGAGTCATAAAAGAGCCAAGGTTGCCTACCCCTGGGCTAGGAGGCTCACCGCTTAGAACAGGAGGACTTAGGACAGGGGTAGGCAACCTTGGCTCTTTTATGACTCGTGGACTTCAACTCCCAGAATTCCTGAGCCAGCCTGGCTCAGCTTGGAAACCTCTCCCTTTCCCCTCAGCATGGCTGGCTCAGGAATTCTGGGAGTTGAAGTCCACCAGTCATAAAAGAGCCACGGTTGCCTACCCCTGGTCTAGGCTTATGCTTCTATGTGTTAATGATGAAGCTAAGCAAGGTGGATAAAATCCAGGAATCTTGTCTAATAGATCCCTTCAGACGCGAAAGAACCAAATCATTAAGGAAACAAAGGGGGAGGGGGTAAACCACTTGAAGCAGATGAAAAAAGTTGGGTCTGACAGGCTGTGTGTGTGTCTGTTTGTGTGTCTGTGTGTGTGTGTCTGAGCACAGCTATCAGACCATGTGAATCAACAAGGCAACNGAGGAGGAGGAGGAGGAGGAGGAGGAGGAGGAAAACTGTGGGGTCATTGGTGCTCACTGTTTTCTTGCAGACATTTCACGACCCAAAGAGGTAACATCATCAGTGCTAGAAGGGAGTGGGGTTTGCGGAGAGGAGGAGGAGGAGGAGGAGGAGGAGGAGGAAGACTATGAGGTCCTTGATGAGCTTGATGGCTTTTTTGCAGACATTTCATAAGCCAACTAGGTAACATCACCAGCGTGAGAAGGCTTGTGCTAGAAAGCTTCTAAACACTGATGATGTTACCTAGTTGGGTCATGAAACGTCCGCAAGAAAACCACCAAGCTCGGAGAGCACCAGGGACCCCACAGTCCGTCTGTCCTTCCTTCCTTCCTTCCTTCCTTCCTTCCTTCCTTCCTTCCTTCCTTCCTTCCTTCCTTCTCCTTTCCACTCCTTTCTAGCACTGATGATGTTACCTAGTTCGGTCATGAAAGGTCTGCAAGAAAACCGTCCAGCTCAGAGAGCAACAAGGACCCCCCAGCCCAACCACGAGCTACAAATATTCTCCTCTATTGGTAACACTACAATCTCCCTATTAAGGGTGGAACCGTAGCAGCCTACATCACCAGCAAGGAGAATATTGTTGTAAATAGCAAGAGATCTTTGGGGGAATTCAAGAAAGCTGGTGCAATGAAGATCCGGGCAAGGTGATCTCAGTTCTCAAGATATACAATGATCAGTGATCACCTACAGAGAGAATCAAGTATCCCCTGGGCTGGGGCTGCCTTACCTGCAAAAGCCACAATTTTTACCCACTCTCCAGGTGTAAGGGCGTGGTTCAAGATCTGTTGTTGTTCACTGGTAGGTTGTAAGTCAGGACTGTTGATGAGCAGAAGCAGAAGAAAGTAAAAGGCCAACATAGGTAACCAGGTGGTTTTTTTGCAACAAAGCAACTCAGGGGTAGGCAACCTGGGCTCTTTTATGACTGGTGGACTTCAACTCCCAGAATTCCTGAGCCAGCATGGCTCAGCTTGGAAACCTCTCCCTTTCCCCTCAGCATGGCTGGCTCAGGAATTCTGGGAGTTGAAGTCCACGAGTCCTAAAAGAGCCAAGGTTGCCTACCCCTGGTCTAGAAGGCTCACCGCTTAGAACAGGAGGACTTAGGACAGGGGTACGCAACCTTGGCCCCTTCATGACTCGTGGACTTCAACTCCCAGAATTCCTCAGCCAGCATAGGGGAACTATGGCCCCCTTTATGACTTGTGGACTTCAACTCCCAGAATTCCTCAGCCAGCATGAGAGAACTATGGCCCCCTCATGACTTGTGGACTTCAACTCCCAGAATTCCTGCGCCAGCCTGGCTCATCTTGGAAACCTCTCCCTTTCCCCTCAGCATGGCTGGCTCAGGAATTCTGGGAGTTGAAGTCCACCAGTCATAAAAGAGCCAAGGTTGCCTACCCTTGGCCTAACTCAAGGTTTCTCAATGATGGCATCTGAGAATGGGTGGACTTCAACTCCCAGAATTCCCCAGCCAGCAAATGCTGGCTGGGGAATTCTGGGAGTTGAAGTCCACGCAGCTTCAAGTGGTCAAGGTTGAGACACACTGCGCCAAATTTATTCTCCGATTCTCCTCAGGGAAGTTATGAACATTGGTGAACACTGTGTAAAGACCGCAGTTGTTAACAGCCGCTGCCAGACTGTTACACCTAGTCCTCCACCTACGACCAACATTTCTGTGGCTAAGCGAAATAATAATATTATTATTATTTTGCCTCATTCTGCGACCTTCCTTAGTGAATCGCTGCAGTTGTTAATAAGATAGTCACACGGTTGTTAAATGAATCGGGCTTCCCCCCCCGTCGACTTTGCTCGTCGGAAGGTCGCAATAGGGGATCGCGTGACCTCAAGGACACTGCAGCCGTCGTAAGTACGAGTCGGTCGCTAAGCACCTGAATTTCGATCCCATGAGCAGGGGGATGCTACAGAGGTGTGAAAAGTGATCATAAGTCGCCTTTTTCAGTAGCATTGTAAGTTCGGACGGTCACTAAACAAACCGTCGTTAAGTCGAGGACTACCTGGACGAACACGCAACATTAACGCACGTACCTAAGCCCTCTTTCACTGCTGGGTAATCCAGGGTTGGTGATAGGTGTGCTACAGGGCGAATTTTCCAGGTGATACAGGCAACAGAAAACGTTGTAGTGAAGCCTAGAAGCGTACAGACAATGGGAAAAGTTAAAATGAACCTCGAAGAAAACTCTAAATTGGGTAGAATCCGGGAAATAATTCAGAGAGGGGAGTAAAAAACACACCTGGCTGGATTCCTGCTTTAATGAACCAACTCTTCAAAGCAGCAGCCTCTTTTTTGCAGAAGCGGGAGAAAGCCTGCGCAAAATTGCCGCTGCTTTGATGAGTAGGAGAGGTGTTTTCTTTTTAGCTCTCTATTGGTATCCCGCAGAGATCCCCCAGAGATCCGGGTGATCCCGGATCTCCCCTCCTTCCGCCGCGCCCTTAAGACATGGCTCTTCCAACAAGCAGGACTGGCCTAAGGGGAAATTTTTAGAGGGGTTTTAAAAGCAATTTTAATAATTAATAAGGCCAAATATTTAATATTTTATTTTAACTTTGTTTTAATGATAGTTTTTGGGGTATTTCTGTAGT